GCTGCAGCGCCAGCTCCACTAGGAGGGGTTGTACAGGCCGCTATGGGCCTAAATGAAGCCATCTTCAGGAACATGTCTCGAGAGCACTGGCTCAACGGCACTGAGGCAAAGGTTAAGGGTACGTGGAATATCCACAATGCGTTATCGAAGCTCGACAAGGAAAAGGAACTTGACTTCTTCATCATGACAAGTTCTATCAATGGGAAGGTCGGCACTGCTACAGAGGGGAATTATTGTGCTGCAAACAACTTCTTGGACGTGTTTGCCCGCTACCGCCGCAGCCTTGGTTTACAGGCTATCTCCCTTGGAATAGGCATGGTTTCAGAGGTCGGCTACCTGCATGAGAACCCACACATAGAAGACCTCCTACTTCGTAAGGGTATCCGGCCTATAACCGAAGACGAATTGCTGCAGATTTTCGATTTCGCGCTGTCTGAGCCGCCAACTTCAGCACACCCCAAGGACCTGCTGTCGCACCCGCATCTTCTTACGGGTCTGGAAGTTACAGGTCTCCAAGACCAGCATAAACAGGGCTATAGCGGCTACTGGCAGTTCCTAGACGATGCGCGTTTCTCCGTGCTCACGTGCGCTCTCAAACGGAGTAGCGCCAGCGAGACATCATCAGGTTCAGGTTCGCAATGGTCCGCAATTAACGAAGCACTCGATTCAGGAGATAAAGAAGGCCTGGTTGCCGTTATTAAAGACTTGATTGCGAAGAAGATGTCTAACTTGATTTTGATTCCTGTCGCTAAATTGGACATCAAGACGCCCTTGTCGGATTTTGGGATGGATTCGATGTTAGCAGCAGAGCTGCGACAATACATATTCAGCGCGACGGGCGCAGATGTTCTCTTCTTGACTTTGATGGATAAAGCTACGAATGTGACGACATTGGCGGAAATAGTGGCGGATAAGTTACAGGTGTCCAGGAATAAGGAATCGTCTTAGATGGCTAGGCGTCGCGTCTAACGTTCGAGCGTTGATGAAGTTTACGAGTTTGGATTTTTAGAATTAAGAGCAATCGGATCGTGTTAGGGGGTTATCATTGGGGGTTGCTTAGAAACTCCCCACTGGAGGTCCGCTAGCTGTGCCTAAAAAGTGGCGTTCAGCCCCTAGTTCTAGACGAGCTCAGCTATTATTATTCATTCATGCACCTCTTTACACGCCTAACTGTGAACTTCTTGCACTTTTATGATCTAGCTACAGCACGACGGCTCCGGCTCTTCTAACAACATAGCAAACTTCGAATTCAAGCAGCATAGGCACTTGCAACTAACTTCAAAGTCAGGATGGCTTAGCCTTATTAAACTACGGCTTAAATAAGGAGGGCTAGTGGTGATCATGGGAAAAATTCCGTTAAAAGACGGTCGAAAGCAGGATTAAGCATGCCGTAGTTATGTCGCTCGGGGGGGCTAGCAAGTCCTGTTCGGATCCTCTGCAGTCTCGCTAATGGCCCTGATGCTAAGCCCCAGACTCCCCTAGGCGTGAGGCTCTGTTCCCCCACGTAATGTTCATTAGCATCGGCATATTTTTATCAGAGCCTTGGATCTCACGTAAGCACTTCTTCCTTCGTTCATGCTCTATATATTACTAACCGTACGATGGCGAATCGATGTGTCGCCATGTTGCGATATCCATCGAGGTTCCCATTTACCTAGTAGGTTAACCTCCCCTAGGTATTGATTTGCAAAATCATTCCATTGAGTTTTGAGCCTTCGAAAATCCGATGTCCCGCCTTAGCCGTGGATGCTTGAGATGTCGCCAGCGACGAGTCAAATGCGATGAAGGAAAGCCTTCTTGTCAACGTTGCGTTAATCGCGGCGAGATCTGCGAAGGCTATCGCGATGAAGCCAGCATTGTATTTCGCTACGAGACCAAAAAGGTAATTGAGCAGGTCAGCGTTGCCTCGGCAGCCTCATCTACTACTTCTGGACGAAGCGCTAGGCGAAGGAGCCGATCTACTGGCAATAAGTCAGCCTCGAGTAGATTATCGACTGCATTCGTTGACCCTTCAGATCTTACGAAAGAAGAAATTGCTAGTTTTCGGTTACCGGATCGTCTCCCGTGGACTAAAACCATCCCAGCCCATTTGCGATCTACCGCGGAAGATGAGGCCGTCAATCTCTTCATTGACAAATATGTCATGTACCCATGTGCTGAGACGTCATCTCCTGGCTTCCTCGAGCATCTCCCATCCTTGTTCAAAGACGTGAATGTAGAAGGCCGGTTCGCGTTACGCTGGGCTGTCCGAGCCGCGGCTTACGCTGACCTAGCTAAGGCCCAGAAGAGTGACGCGCTAATCAACAAGGCTTTCCATTGCTACGGAATGTCGCTTTCAGCACTAGGGGAATCATTATCATCGCAAGGCAAAGTTCCCGATGATTATGATTTGATGACTGCAGTCATGTTAGATATCTTCGAGGTATGTCCTAATGCGATTAGATAATTGCTCCCATTCGCTAAATTTCTAGACTTTCTTCATCGAAGAACCTGCGATGAGGGGAGCTCATGCTCAGGGCATGGCACAGATCCTGAGACTGAGGGGCTCTGACCAGATTTATAGCGCTCGTGGGTGGAGTTTATTCAGGCTCGCGCACCATAGGATTGTTAGTGGGCAGCCATAGCCACCCCCAATTCATTATGGAATACTCACAAGTCGCAGCAAAAGCAACAGCTAGCTTTCAACCTCAATCCTCTAAATGATTCAAAATCTTGGTTTGATCAACTAGATGACAACGTGCCTTCTGTCCATCTAGAGAAAGATGCATTCAGGATCAGCCAGACATGCGAACGAGGAAGGAAGTTGCAAGAGACCCTAGCCAGTGGAAACACTTCAATATCTGAAGTCCTTGAGCTGGTGCACGAACTGGTCAAGCTGGATCAAGAAGTGGTTAGCTGGCGGGAAACACCTGAGTGGGCTTTCAAGACGCTAAATTTATCCGATTTACCTGCATTCGATCTCTCGGTGCAGCCCCTAACCAGCACCGTGCAACTTCACGCGGATCTTTGGATGGCATACGAGTGGAACTACCACCGGACAGCACGCATCATCGGCCACCAGCAATTGTTAAACTGCTTGGAGACCGCGCTGAAGACCTCCGACTCGAATAATCCATTAAAAGAGAGCCTATGCATCCTCATTGAGCAATTTACCAAAACAATACAGTTACTTGCCGATGAAGTCCTTTCAACTGTACCCCAAACTTTCGGTGATATTAACAGCTTAGGCCTATTACACGACCACAAGACTGGTCCCCCGGGGTGTCGAGCCATAGGGGGCTATCTCCTACTCTGGCCTATCAAAATCATCAAAGGAGCACAATTCGCAACAACACTGGAGCAAAAACAGAACGCGCAAATAGCTTTCGAACGGATCCGCGAGTACACCGGAATGAAGTCGCATCTCGGATCTCTCAGTGTTATATAGGTAAATTACGACTTATTTCCCAGGCACCTTAATAACCGTCTCCCCCAACTCCTCCCCACCCGCCAACCTGATCTTCTGCGACCCCACACCCACAAACGCAATGCGACACACCTCATCCGTGCGATTATGCCAAGCATGATTAACGCCCTGCTGGACAATAAACTCGCCCGCCCTCACCGTCGTCTCCTCTCCCCCGTCCAGCGCCAACACGATCTCACCGGACAGCACAACGGCGTAGTCTAAACTCAAAGTTCGGTGCATAGGCACGCTGTAGCGCGGCGCGATGTTCGTGATGCAGAAATTGACGCCAGTGGGGGGTACGCGGGGGAGTGTGTTTTCGAGGTTGTTGGGGGGAGGCGAGAGGTTGTTGACGGGGACGGAGGACCGCGCGTCGAAGATGGTGAAGGAGCTGCCGGTGGGGCCGAAGGGGGAGAAGGAGGGGAGGGTGCGGTCTGAGTGGAAGATGGAGGTGCCGTCGGAGTTGTGGGTTGTGACGACGACGCGGGCGCCGCTAGTTAGGAGGGAGGTGTTGGAGCTCATGTTTGGTTATGCGGAAGGATAGACAAATATGTATTAGGTGTATGCTGAATCAGTTGAAATATTTGATAAGAGTTGTATGAGTACCTAACTTGAGACTTGAGACTTGGGTTGCCGATTGGTTTATAGTGCTTTAGATGTTTGCGAACTAAGCTAGGTAGATGCTCGAAGGTCTCGATATTGGTTTGTTATGGACATTTAGAGAAATAAACTCGAGAATACTCGACATTTATACACAAATTCTCTTGAAGACCTTGCTACTGAATCTCTGTCCCCGTCATATGTGAAGCTGTATCGAGGGTACGTACCTCGCAGCGCTAGCCGAGTCTGGTAACTGACACGAGATGTGATGTGCAGCGACATCTCCACAGTTTACTGGACTGGGTGGGTCCCTAGACAAAATTTTGGGGTTCTTTAGCAGAGTCCTAGGCCTAATTCCAGCGGTGCGTGCGCATTGTTTTAGGGAGGATTAAACGATTGACGAACCTCCAGGCTGTCAACTAGGTTCTTCAGGGGCAAGGATCCTTCTCCTTAGGCAATCGCCATCCCAACGAATTATGACCGTAGAATTGACTAAGCTGAGTCTCGGACTGATTTTACCCATTCCTTCATTCACGACACTTGCTTGATGATCTTCCCGGATATACCTAGTCCTCTCCAAAGCACCTGAGTTTGCAGTATGTAGCTTATTTCCTTTTCTGGAAGCCCACGCGAACCTTCTCATATCGCAAACACTGGACGGTGGATCAAATAAGGGCTTAGTTAATAACATTAACTCTTCTGTGTCTTCCGTTTCTCCTTGGAAGAAACATTTGCCCTCTTCCTAACTACCTACACAGACTGAATCGTGAACCTTAACCAACCAAGTTCAATGCGAAGTAAATGACCATAATCTTGACAGTTTACTAATCTCACCTTTTACACAGTATGCTCCGCACCATCAAGGTGCACAACAACCTATTACATGCTAGCTTACTCCACATTCTACCAATCAGGATATATAGCACCTTTAGCAAGAAATGACCAATCCCAAGCGGCCCTTATAGCTCAGTGGTAGAGCGCAGCACTCGTACTGTGATAATTCTTCTTGAATATAGTTACAATTTACTAATGCTGAGGTCCATCGTTCAATCCGGTGTGGGGGCAATATTATTTTTTTCCCATTTGTCTAACTTTTTTGGTCTTATTGTGACAACATTCAATACTAGGTATCTATTATTACATCGATCAAATTTCTTTTTCTTCAAGGGAACAGGAGTGACTAGGAAAGGTTATCGGTCCTGACCCTAGCTCTGACCCTTGGTGGCATGCGATCACCAGGTAATCAATAATCAAGTATAAATTCAACGACGATTCAATAGCAATGAATTAAATTTAAAGCGTACCCTATTCCATTCCGATCATCAATATGAATTTTCACCTGCGAATGCATTAAATTGCTAAACAATGGGCTCTACCAAGGCGTAACAGAGCAGTCAGAGTCTCATACAATAGGGGTAAGGTCATGTCTAGCCAAGGTTCAAATAACTCAGGGGCAATTTGATTTATATAACACAGCCTAATGTTATGGCAAGCCTCGACCATCTAACCCTTCCAATATCACCTGTCAAAGGTAGAACTATACAAAACGAGAGTAAGAAATAGATAGATACAAAACAATTGCGAACATTTTATCCAAGCAAAGACAATGGCTTCGCTATGCCTCAAATCTATGTTAAACCTCTGTGCACTGGGTCATTCCGGCGCCAACGTTCTTCTCATACATAACTCCCTTATAAGTCTTCTTGCTCTTCTTCTTCTGCCAGACAACGCGAAACTTTCCCTTTTCTATCGGTGGAAAGATTTGAGTTAGCACGTAATTCACTACACGACTTATATAGTACCTAGTATGTATTGTAAGATTATGACTTACCGCCTCTTCCATTCCAGACTCCCTCCTGCAATAGGGGGAATTCCTTTAAGTCTGTGGCTTTATTGAAGAGCCCTTCGGCGTTACCGTATGTATGGGGCATGTTGCCAACGGTGTTGTCCTCTTTCTTCGACGCCTCCGAATAAGTCGTTCCAATCTGATCTGCTTTGATGACCGTACCGCCGCAGTTGACGTCTTTATCGATCTTCCTAGCGTAGAGCTCAGAGTTGGTGGGCGATGCAACAGCCACAGTGATAAGGCTGAGCAGGAGAGTAGACTTCAGGTTGAAATACATATTGAAGAATGGGGAAAAAAATATTTTTCTATGTAGGAGCTCAGTTAGTTTTGGATGTTCCTGTGCTTGGTGGTAGAGAAGGAGCTCGAGTGAATTCTGGAGTGCTTCACGGACAACTTATATAGATATTGAACTGCCCCCAACTGTAACTCGACCCGTCGCTTAGAATATTTCAAAAGCAAGTAAATGCGAGCTTTCGATCACCCCTATTGAAGTCGTCGGCGAAAGTGAGTTCTAAATTAAGAGCACTCGTTAAGAGACTGGGAGTGCCTTAATTTCAGCTGCGAGCATAAGCCTTCCTCCGGAATATCGGGTAGCTGTAAGTCTACGCCCTGTATCTAAGGGGTATGTAGGCTATCTACCTGCACTTTGTAATTCATTCAGTAGGTAGGTAATTGTCTGATATACTAACCGGGTAACAATCGTCACTCATGATCTGCATCAAATTCAAACATCGTCATGATGCGTAATATTTAGTCATATATAACCTATATATGAAGATGCTTCCACATAATGCTACCTTCATATTAGGTACCCAGTAAGCTTACCTACTCCCTCAAGTTACACCAGGGCTCGTTTCACGGATGGGACGGCTCAAATATTACCAGACACTTTTCTTCGGTTAACAAAGCGAGTAATAACCAAGTATATCGATATACGCTTTTGAATACTTACTAGGTAGGTAAGTAATTATGCATAAGCGTTGGTATGATAACTATTTCGGCCTCGTGTTGGTGAGATGCCTCATATTGAAAAGGATAGGAAATGATACAGGTAATCCTACCCGTTTTTAATTAATTAATTGCAGTATTACAAACTAGGACTCTGTGTAACCATTGTCAGAGTCCTCATTTCACGGTTATCTGTCTGATTGGACGTTAACTGATGACGTAATTAGAATGACGTCCAGGGCGCTCGATCGCTAAATGTGCCCGAAAGAGTGCCTTGCATTCTCTTCACCTACTAAAGTGAGCTCTCCGAGTTTCTATGTAAAGACCAATATTTAATCTTCTTACAACGAGCGTAATTTATCTTAATATCGACTTACTTCCAGCGCACGATATTCAATCTGTACATTCTATCTTCAAATTTTTATATTTTTCACTAGACAGCCATGGCGTATTCTGTTTCTCGGCTAGAAGGCTCAGACGAGTTCAAAATACTGAACTCTCTTGTAAGCCAGCCTGATGTATCAGTCCCGAACGCAATAGAGTCAATACTCGGCCTGAACATATCAAGTACACCCGACGGCGAATATACCCCGGGCTGGCATTGCGAACAACTGTTCGAATCCGTGATCGACATCGCTTCGCGTACACCCATACCTCAGCAATTAAAGCTGGTTGAGTTCCTCATCCAGCTGCAGCAAACAACGTTTCTCAATCTAGACACGTCGACGCCTCTAGAATGTGACGGCCAGAAACTATATACTGACCTTCCACGTATCGGGATGAGCTTTCGTGAAGAATGGAATTTCGGTAAGGCTATGGAAGAAAATGAGGGAGAGGGGTACACAAATGACCATGTTGAGACTAACAAGTAATCTAGACCCACAGAATGCAAATGCAACTCCGGAAGAGAAAACTAGTTGGGAGAATAAGTCCGCCTTCTTAGCGCAAGTTACGGCGCTCTCTCCCGTTGATGATCCGTCGGAGATTAAGAGCCGCCTGAATTTTTCGATCTTTGCACTCTGGGCCATGAGAGAAGCGTTTGAGAAGGCCTCCGCCCCATCAACGCCGACGGACACGGCATTACGAGCAGCATGCTTGTGGATTATTTACGCGGGCGATACATTGTTGAGGAACGTGGAGAACGAACTTGTTCTCCAGGATAATATCGGGCTTCCTGGAAATTGTTATAAGAGAAAGGGGTGGAGGGGCTTCAATAGTGAGAGGCTGGAGGTCTGGAAGAATGGCTTGAGGGCTGCTCAGAAGAGATATGAAGGTGAGACTAGAAGCATGGTTGACCAGGCGCTGGAGAAATTCCACGGATGAGAGGTGTGAGGAACACGTCGTAAGCTTAGAAGTTAAGATGGAATGGACATTCATCAAGAGACGAATTGAGTATGGCAGTACTTGAGCGGGCGCACTCGCTAAATAGGCACTGAAGACATAGGGCGCGATATGAAAGTTAGGCCGCCAAACCGCTAATTGACATTGCCAAAATGATATTTTCATCACTGACCCTCTGTTGCTCGTCCTTAGACAATCAAGTCAACTTTGCCTTTTCTACCAGCCCGTTCTGCTTAAGCCTCCATAATAGCAGATCTATCCTGTCCTGTCCAAAGAAAGGTTCTCCCTGAAACACGCAGGTTGGGACTCCCCAGTGTCCAGCCTCTTCAAGCGCTTTTAAATTTGTGTCCGCAACTTGTCTTAGCCTCGCCTCGTCTTTGAGAACCACGGCGTCCATTTCTGCAAGATCAAGACCTGCTCTCCTTGAGGCTCCCGCGAGATGGTTGCCTTGATCCCATCCATCTGTAGACCAAATGACTCGAGATACTTCATTCGCGAATGGAATCCCCTGCCCTCTTTCTTCGGCTAATATACCCAAGTATACCAAATGGTATATGTTAGGCTGATCTTTAGCCGCTTTATAGACACCATCCGCATCAATCTCGACGTTGACGGGGTCTGGATCCGGCCATTGATAAGGCAGATTCAGGTATTCGGCCACTCGTGGACAGTCTGTAGCGACGATATATTTGAATAGAAGTGGATTGCTGGTCACGAACCACTCTGGGCTGCGCACAATGAGCGGAAGCACGGGTCGGAGGCGAATGTCTACATTGTAGGTTTTTGCTATATCCGCTAATCTGGGTGCAGCAAGATAAGAGTAGGGGCTCCGAAAGGAGAAAAAGACGTCAACTTGAAGTTCTGGATGCATGATAGTTACTAGACGAGACCGTATGTTGCTGGAGGTTGAATGGTAATGGTAACTACCATCTAGAGGCCGTTCTTATGTCTTTCTTATGCCTTCATTTAGCCTCGGCGCGATACATTCTCATATGTGTGTATGTCATAAGATAACAACCGAGGTAAGTGTCCAAGTGGTAAGGACGACGGAGTTCGGACGGTCGATGGCCGTAAATTCCGCCATCCCAGCAAATCATATTTACATACTAGGTATGCATTAATGTCCGTCGGATGGTGCGGTATAGAGTTAACATAATAACCCTCTTGAAGTCAAGCACAAGGGCTTTGGCGATAAAATATAAACTGCTTTAATATTATTTCGCCTGCCGTCGAACTCAACTCCTGTTTCACTATTACTATAGAACATATCGGAAGTCTGGGTTCTCAAGATCAGTCTTGTCGTGCATGCCTAGCCTCATGCCGTCTAACTTCTCTTGGGTTGTCTCAAGCGCTCCGAATTGGCGATCTCTTTTCTTGTTTTCCATAATCATGTAGTAGCGAAGCGCAATTGCACAGAGTAACGCTGCGCAAAAGAAGACAAGAATTGTCGTGATAGCTAGCACATATTTCGGGGCGTCTTGATCGCGGAAGAAGAACGGACCTGCGATATTTCCGGCAGCAAATACGACGAAGAGGAGTGTATTCGTAAACGCCCGTTTAGTGTGACCAGCAATATTCTGTCCAACAATCGTGAGACAGAAAGGCCACTGTATTGGAGTTAGTCTTGTAAATATCGCATGTAAATGAGATGAAAATGGAGACGAACCGTGACAGCATAAGAATTGATCAGCCAGTAGGCGACAACTCTGCCGTATTTATTGGCACCAGTACCTATCGTGCCATAGACTGCGGCAATTCCCGCAATGGCAGGTAGTAGTGGAATTATCATTCCCAAAGTTCGCAGGTTGCCATATTTAATTGACAAGAAGCCCCATACAACCATGCTCCCAGCACTGACGACGGATGACGGAAGGCCAATGAGTAGTGTTCTGAACGAATCAAACCCGAACCCGGAGATTACCAGTGAGCC